TAACCATTTGAGCTACAAACTCCTTAAGAGGAAGTCTAATGGGACTTATTTAGCCTGGTCTGAGTTCAGATATGGCCTCAAATGAAATATAAAAAAACACTTTCTAATGCATGTGTTTGGCCCAGTCCAGTTTGCCCTAAGGCAAGATAAGGGGTTGGTTTTGCCCAAGAGCTGGCCTGATCATGAGTGGGCCCCATGGTCAATTTTTGGGATAAAAAAGGTGGCGCAGCAAAAACTGCTTTTTCCAAATGCTTTGGCCTACGAGGATCTGCCACGTGATGCCTTCAATAACAACTGCCTAAAGGCTAATTGTTGGGCTGTTTAGTTTTTAGTTTTCAACGATTAGTTTCGTCTTTTTGACCTTTTTTTATATACTCCAAACCCTTTTTACTTGTTTATTCTTTTTGTGTTGCTTTTTTTATATACTCCAAGCCTCTCAAATTTGTTTACGAAAATAAATTTTTGTGTTGCTTTTCTTATGTTTTGATTTGTTTTATCACAAATAAAAAAATAATAAACTAAAATAACAAATTTTGAGTTTTAGCCCCTAGCCCCTCACCACCACTAGAACCACAAAAAATTTGAAATGCTAGATTTTGTTAATAGTATCATTTTGAAGGGCTAAAACAACACCTAGCCCCTTGCCCCTTGTCCTTGCATTAGACATGCGCTTACATACCTTGAAATTGTCAAGAGTTAATACAAGGTTTATAATGCAAGCGATCGGTGCTTCGCCATTATAGAGTCCCGCAATGCGAATCCGTTACAAAATCCCGCTTTTGAACATTGTACAACATATCTGGACACCTACAATCTTTTTTCTTTCTTTTCTTTCTTTCTCTCTCTTTCTGTTTTCTTTCTTTTACTTCTCTCTTCTCTCTTCTCTCCTCTCTCCTCTCTCTTTCTTTTTTCTTTCTCTCCGCCAGTTTTCTTCTTCTCTCTTCCAATCTCTGCAACTCAATCCCTCGTCGCAATATCTGCAGCATAATAAGGATGTGGTTGTTGTAGAGCACAGTGACAAGAGGGCAATGCTGGTTTGTTGTGTGATTGCAGGAGCTGTGTGGAAGAGTATGACTCTGTGGCTGGAGCTGTGGGAGTTTGCTCCAAATTGTATGTGTTTAATCCCAAGGCTATTTTGCCTTGTTTTTTTTGTCCTATAGCCAGAAGAGAGAAGAAGAAGAAGAAAAAGAGAACAAAAATACCAGACACAGACCCATTCGCTCCCCCTCCCCTCTGTTATTTTCTCCCCCATGACCTGATTGAAGAGAGCGACAATCAATTCAAGAATCCTGCTATCCTAGGTCAACCTTCCATCACCATGACCTGACTGAAGAAACTAACCAGAAGAGAGAAGAAAAAAAATCACCCCATGACAAGAGGAAGAAGAAAACTGGTCGAGAGAAAGAAAAAAAGAGAGAGGGAGAGAGGAGAGAGAACGGAAAGAAAGAAAAAAGAAAAAGAGAGAGAGAGAGAGAGAGAGAGGCGGCAATGCACATTACAAATGGGGAAATTCTATTGGGTTGGGAACTACTAAAATGCTTTCTAGTAGGCCTGTAAAACGGGCCGGGCTGGCTGTAAAACGGGCTGGGCCGGGCCAGCCCGGCCCTAAGAGTTGTGAGCCCAGGCCCTAACTGGAGAGGCACCCTATATATATATATATATATATATATATATATATATATATATATTCTAGTAAACATGACAAATGGCTCTTATTTTTGTTAAAGGAAATTCTGAATTCAAATAGAAAACAAAAATTAAACATTTTTTTTATCATATACAATCTGACATGACACATAATCCCGCAAAAATTTTAGTCAGTTCACAACAGCACTTGTCTGGAAGGAAGCTTTCCACATGCGCTTTTGCAGCCGTTACACACAAGCACAAGAGCCAAAGGTTTCCAAGAAACCAAACAATTTTCGCTTGATTGCTTCATTTCAAGAAAGTACTTGTTTGCTTGTTTGAATTAAAACATGGGTCCAAGCCCATGGTATATCCCCCTCCTTTCCAATAACCCCATAGATATATATATTTGCTCACCCTTTCTCTTTTGGCACCAAACTTGGAAAAAGCACAACAAAAACCCTACAAAAATGGATGTTTTTATTTCAGAAGAGTATGTTGTAAAGCGAAGGGTTGAGAGAAAGGCAGCTGCTGCTGGTGGAAATGGGAAAAGTTCAAGCATGGCGTCTGAATCTTCTGCGAAAAGGTCTGCTGAGGAGAAGAGAAGAAAAGCTCGGCCAAATCATAACCATGATGTTATGGTCTCTAGTGAACTGAGTGATGGCATTATTTTTAGCTGCTTCTCAGCCTAATTTACTTAGATGATGAGATATTGTATATGTATATGGTGTTTTGAAATTTTAATGTCTTATTAGCAGCTAGAAATTAACTTTTAGACCTTTTATTACTTGAGATATATGCCTCTACAAAATTAATCCAATCCAATGTGCATCGCCGGGAACATGTATCTTTGACACTTCTGCACGACATACTCTGAGAAGGATGCACAAATTATAAAGCGGAGCATTGATCAAGGTCTCGTCTAAAAGTGCTAGCTGAAGTTTATTTATGGATTTCTAAACCCTCTTTCTTTTTTTTTTCTTTTTTCTTTTTAAAATCAATGGAGGTTAGGGGGTTTTGAAGTTGGAACTTCTTCCAATATTAGGAAGAGAAGTATCACTAATCCAAGATTTAGTTGGTGACTTCTAAACTTTAAATACTCAAGAGATTTTTCAATCGCATTTTCAGGGTGGTATTTGGGGATCGCACTACTCCTATTGTGACCATGAGAGGAGGAAAACTACTTTATTCTCGTACACTACGACTTTCGTTTTCTCTATCTTTCTTCTTATGTGATCTACCACGCATGTGACAAGAGAGATAGAGAAAGTGGGGCACAATGCACATGGGTATAAAAGTATTTATCTTCCTTAGAAATTATGTCATTATTTTCCTTAAAATATGGACATCCTATTTGAGTCAACGAATTAAATACCAGTCTATAGCCAATCTTTTAAAACACATATTAATTTATGGAATATATATTCAGATGTCTTGGGATGTTGAGAGATAGATAACACTGGACACTCTATAATATTGTACTGCACTAATAGTTTCTTTCTAGCAAACCCTTGAGCCTTATTCTGAGTGTTGGGGTTGGTTCTCGTCGTGACTGAAAAAATAAAATAAAAACAATGCCGAAATTGTCAACTCAATTTTGAGTCAACAAAAGACGCCACCATAGCCTACGCTTAATAACATAGTTATATATATATATATACTAATTAATTTGACGATAAATATATCTATATATATATATATATTCATATGTAACGTAGATACACTTTGGGATTTTGAGAGAAAGATGAACTATGATCCCCCCAAGGCCTCCTTTTCCTCCGGCGTGATGTCTTCAGAATGGCAAGAATCCGAAACCAAACTCACAAGAAAATCAAAGATATCGGTGCCCATGACGGCCGAGGCAACGTCGTCTTTGTGCAGTGTCCTTCTCTTCCCTTCCAGGGTTGTCATCCAAGACCTCCGTGTGAGTTCCTCTATGAACAGCTCACATGCCTTTGAGAACACAATTGGAGCCTCGCCAGATATCATCTTCACGTCCTCCCCGGACTTCTTCATGATCTTCTTGATCCTCGCCAAGGGCAATGAGTGGGGCCCAGTCCTCCCGGATATGCCTCCACACATCATGAATCCTGAGTACCTTCCCGGTTGCCTCATTTCTTTAAAAGTTCAACGTAGTATATGATCTATCTTAGATGCAGAGATAAATGCTCTTAAATTATCTCAGAAGCTATAAGTTTTGAATAAGTTGTACGTCTTCCACTCTATGGGACATGGAGGTTATATATGATAAGAGAGCAGCCGGCAGGGCGGGCCAGCCTGCTTAAGCCGGCTAATTAAATCTAATGACCAACTATATATATTGATTTGTTTATGATAAACAATTGAGGACCTTCATTTTTTCAAACCATATAAAAAGTGGTACGTCACCTTAAACAATAAACAAGCATGCAATGGCGTGCACAGTAACAAGGATCCTTGCCTTGGGACAAATTTGTGTATTGTGGCATGGCATGAAATAATGCTACACATACAAATAGATCATGGTTCGTTTTTTTATTGTATTTTATTCAACTTGATGTTCGTTTTATGTTTGGCTTTTGAAGCATTCCAAAACTGTTCGATGGGTTGAGATTTGGTCTCGTTAATTACAGGATTGCCCCTAGAACTCATAGCCAGCTAGGTACATGCATGTGGGTTTTTTTGAGATATGGTCTATATATATAAACATTTACTAGAAACAATGCAATTTAAATTTATTGGGTGTGAATCTAGCCTTAATCGAATATAATGTTCGGTTGATATTTGGTCAACTTTTGATGAATATATAATTGTAGGCTTAGACTAGACAGTTACACTATTGCCTCTCACAATATTATTATTTAGAAAAAAATAATAAAGCCAGTTTTGGTCGATTGGGTAGAGATATACTCTTTTTATCAACCATTTTAATCTGGTTGAGAATCAATAATCAACGTCCTTACACTGTTGAACAATGTAAAAGCTGACATCGGAAACTTGACAAAATAAAATATAATTGTTTATCCATTTTGTGTCAGGATTGAGGCGCAGAATTTAAGCCCAAACAACAACATATAATGAATCATTTCACTACTAATAGCACTAATGCCTTTTTTTTAAGACCCCTAAACCTATTGGATTATGATACTCTAATGTAAACAAAATTAGAAAAGAAGTGAATTTTTTTTAATAAGAATGCCACATAATTCCACCTACGTACCCACAATCCAAAATTTAGGAAAACGTAATACCCACGGCTAGCTTTGAGGACTATTTTCGTTTACCTCCAATAGCAATTGGTGGTTTAGATTAACTTTAGGGTCGCTTAAATTCGACACTAAATATTCTAATTCTTTTTTCACCAGCATATATAATATTAAATTTTTTTTCTTCATATTTTCTTTTTCTCATTACCTTCCTCTCTGAGATCACCCAGATAGCCATCGAAGAAGAAAAAAGCAGAGATAATTTTGAAGCGTCTAAGAAGTTACTTCTTAGGCCTTCGATTTTCTCTTCTTCGTTGTTCGCGTGTTCTAATTCGATTTACTACAAAGGTATTAGGGTGCATTTACGTCCAAATCCCATGGCGGATGAAAAGCGAAAGGCTGCTCCTGAAAGTAAAACATCTCTCTCTCTCTCTCTCTCTCTCTCTTCAAATGGTTTTCGACCGACTTCTAATTATGGAAATATTTTGTTTTGCATGCAGAGGATACAAGTGCAATAAAAAAAGGTAATTTCCGGGCACCATCTTGAAGTTCATTTAGTTTATATGCTTGTATTAATAATCTGTTTATCTTGTGCTTGCACAACAGTTTTGTCAACTAAGTCATTGGGTTTAATCAAAGCATGGGAAGAAAGCGAGAAAACAAAAGTAGACAACAAGTAAGACTCAAATCTCTATGCTAATTCCACATTTTGCCAAACCATTTTGGCCACATTTCTCGATTTGATAGGAGAAAGTTGGCACAATTGATTACATTTATTTTAAGAGCTTATATTTTTACTTTCCACATTTTCTAACAATAATGTATTGAAATTGTTGATTAGGACAAATAAAAAGTTATCTAATGTTGTTGCCTGGGAGCTCAGCAAGCAAGCATATATTGATGCGCGACAGAAGAAGTTTGAGGTAATTAATAGGACTAATTCTAGATTCAAGGCATTACTCTTTTGACGATAATACTAGAGCCTCAAAAGAAGATTGAGATTGAAAATGAGTCCAGATATGATACCAACACATAACTTATGAAACGTTGTCATATTAGTTGCGATTCAAAACTTTGACGTTCGCCACTTATTCTCATAAGAATATATGTATTAATTAATTAGAAAGGGCCATTGATTATTGTTGCTTTTGAAAAATGTGACAGCGAAAACTAGAAAGGAAGAAGGCAGTGTACGTAGAAAAGATGCAAAATAAAATTGCTGACATTCATAAGAAAGCAGACGAGAAAAGGGCGATGGTTGAAGATGTGAAAGGGGAAGAACGTGCAAAGGTAGAAGAGAAGGCTGGCAAATTCCGTGAAATTGGGCATGTACCAAAGAAAATCCTATGTTTTAACTTTTGAAATTTGTGTGTGTTTTTTTGTTTTTCTGTTTTGTGTGCTTCACTCGATAGTTTTTAGTATAGAACATGTGAAATTTAATGCTAATGTTGGGGATATATTTATGTAACCCAATGCTAAAACATCTCTAGAAAGGAAGAAGGCAGTGTACGTAGAAAAGATGCAAAATAAAATTGCTGACATTCATAAGAAAGCAGACGAGAAAAGGGCGATGGTTGAAGATGTGAAAGGGGAAGAACGTGCAAAGGTAGAAGAGAAGGCTGGCAAATTCCGTGAAATTGGGCATGTACCAAAGAAAATCCTATGTTTTAACTTTTGAAATTTGTGTGTGTTTGTCTATTTTTTTGTTTTGTGTGCTTCACTCAATAGTTTTTAGTGTAGAACATGTGAAATTTAATGCTAATGTTGGGCATATATTTATGTAACCCAATGCTAAAACATCTCTGTGGTACATTTTTGTCTAATGAGATTTTGTATGAGCCAATCACACATAAAATTCGTCTTTTCAAAAAGAAATAATTAATGAAGCCGATTTTATCAGTCTTGTATCAAATATCGATTCTTTGCCAAGCTGATGTGGTGCTGCTGAATTGATAAACTAAAACGACACCGTTTTATTGACTTCCCTCCCTACTAACACGTGACTTTGCATTTTATTGCCAAAAACAATTTGATTACGCTTGGCATGTTTATTATTCTAGTTGGATTGGGAAAAATCATGAGATGGGAGAGAAGAAATATGTATGAGATCAACTAACCAAGTAAACATTCACCATTCGTTCCAGAAAACACAATTGTCATTGGCTTCATCCTTGGAAGTGGTCGCCGTTGTCGTGGTCGGAAAGTTGAATGGTCCATGGGAGAAGCCGTGCAGATCATCCTTGGGTTTGGGCAGGGTGACCTTGTAAAATTGTTGAAACTTGAACACCACAACCACGATTTCCATGGCTTGAGAAACTCTCGAAGTTAATTCCTACACTAATACTTTTCCGTAAGTGATATAAGCAAGAGAATGAGTTGTTTAATTATTTTTACTGTCCGGGACGTATTAGATGTCCAAATCGATTTCAAAGCCAGTCAAATATGGTTTCTGTTTCATAACTATTTTGTTCATGGATATTCAAGACGAGGAAATGTGATTTTGTACGAATATATCAATGTTGTTCTTCAAAAGTAAACCTAAATTTTGTCTATTACAAAATACAACTTTTTTTAAAATAAAAAAAAATACAAACGATATAGGAATGGAAAATCGAACATAGAACATTGGGTATGTGGGAACGCTCTTAACACATAACACATAATAAAGTGATACTATTAGGTAAACAATAACACATATAGTGAGATGAACGAAGCTATACATATATAAATTTTGCCTACATGCATTTGCCTTGGATAGCCTCAAAAGATGTTGAATATTTAATTAAATTTTTTGTTTATATTTAAAAATAATTTTTGGTAACCTTTTATTGGTTTGACAAATGCATGATTGTATAATATAGGTTATAAATAAAAGACTTTTTATCACAAATGGTCCATGAGGTTTGCAAAATGATCACCTTTCGTTGCTAATGTTTTTTTTGTGACACTAATGGTCCTTAAGGTTAGCCTCCACACATCAAAATGGTCCCTGCTGTTAGTTTCCGTCAAATTTTCTGTTAAATTGATGATGTGGCACATGTGTGGAGCCCACACATCCAATGGTATAGAGCCATGTGATTTTAAATATAACTAGCCTCTCTGCATGCGCATCCGCGCTTGCGAGAGGGTTTTTAAAAGAAAAAATTAAATTTATTTTAGAATTAAAAAAGATAATGGGTAGTTGCGTTCCATAAAAAGAGGATCCATTATCTGATTTTTCTTTTAATTTTAAATTTTTTAATATGAAAAAGTGTAAATTTACCATATTATCCTCACTTAATTAATAATTTCAATTCTTAATGTTTGCATAAACCAAGGGCATTTTCTGGTATTTTGAATGTTTCACCATTCTCTGTCTTTTGCTTTATACATATAGATATAATATAATATATTTTAGTTGCTTTTAATTTATTTTTTTCAATGGATTTTAAGTTTTAAAAATATTTAAAATTTATTATATTATATTTATTATACCATTGGATGTGTGGACTCCACACATATGCCACGTCATCAGTTTAACAGAAAAATTAACAGAAGTTAACAACAGGGACCATTTTGATGTGTAGAGGGTAACCTTAAGGATCATTAGTGTCGCAAAAAAACGTTAGGGACGAAAGGTGATAATTTCATAAACCTAAGGGACCATTTGTGATTAAAAAAAACCTAAATAAAATTAGGGTTTGATACAATCAAAATGTATATATATATATATGTTCTATTTTCCTTCATCAATTACGCTTTTCTAGCTACTAGCCATTTGATCGAGTTACATATATGATCTAAAAATAGTAATAATCCCACAATGAACAAGCTAAAACTTACCTGGATCCTATTTCTGGAAAACTCAGTCAAACCAATCTGCCATTGAGTTATTTTAAGCTCCAAAACCAATGGAACTTTCTTCACGTGTCCTCCATACACCTTGGAACTTACCTTCTCCACTCATTTACCCATTTGATTTTGGACCTTTAATTTACTTTCCCCAACTACAAGAAAAAGGTGATAGTTGATGGGCAAAAAACCGAATTAGTTCAATCTCAAATTGTAAGCAATTGGAGATTGAACTTCCAAGGTTTCCTGCTGAACGCTCATTAAATCTTGTTGCAAATTCTTTTGTCTCCTATTAAACCATCTTTTCTGTTGAGCGATCTTGATATCTTTGGGACAACAGGAAAAATGTCGTTCAGTGGAACCCAACAGAAATGCAAGGCTTGTGATAAGACTGTTCATTTCATTGACCAGTTATCTGCTGATGGTGTCACATACCATAGGCCCTGCTTTAAATGCAGTCATTGCAATGGACAACTTTCGGTAGACTGTCATCTTGTTCATGTTTTATATTTTATTTTCAATTTGTTCTCTGCTATTTGAATGAGGTAGTGTTTCATTGCTGGTCTTTCCACTTTCATATATATATATATATATATATATATATATATAAATATATATATATATAAATATATATATTTGAATGCTTGTTTAAATGTTAATATGTTGGATTGTGATCCATCTACTCTATAGTGGAGAATGGTGAAACATAGATCAAACGAAGACTATATTCATGTTTCCATTAAACTCGTATTGTAGAAAAATCCGGAGAATTAAGGACCATATCAAATATGGGCTCGTAATTAAAATTGGTGTTCTAAATCAACTTGGTTTAGGGCTGAAAGAAATAAACAAGCTTTGGATGGAGGATGAGGCAGTTGTTTGCTTGTGTTTATTTTACAGATGAGTAGCTACTCCTCCATGGAGGGAGTTTTGTACTGCAAGCCTCATTTCGAGCAACTCTTCAGGGAGTCTGGAAATTTCTCTAAGAAAGTTGCATGTAAGATCCCTCTTCCCATTGCAAAATTCTTGGTATACAAATCCATTTTCTCTCTCTCTTTTTTCTTCTTTTCTGATTTCCCATTTTTGACCTAACAATGTTTCGTTCCATATGTTTGATGTACAGGTGGAAAGTCACAAACTGAATTGGTACACATTTTATAGCCTAAACTCATTATTATATGCTTAATATTTCTTTTTTCTTGGTTTCTGCTAAAGCTTATACACTTTCTTCTCTTTTTATGTATAGACTAAGACGGCTAGCAAACTGTCCTCAATGTTCTCTGGGACTGTAGACAAATGTGCAGTCTGCACCAAAACTGTGTATCCACTAGAGAAGGTTTGAATCCCATATCTCCCCATTTCTCTCTCACTAATTAACATGTTGCAAAGTGACCGCAAAGTACAAATTTGTTATCATGCACTTCAAAATTAATATTTTGAAGCGCTTACAAATTGGGTAAATGATAACAAATTGAGAATAAGAATATTATTTCAGTTGTAATTTGATGCACCGTGAGATTAATATTCTGTGGTTTGGCTTTAGATTTGGTGAATTCTAAAAGATATTTTGTAATACAGGTTACCATGGAGGGAGAGTTTTTCCACAAGTCATGCTTCAGGTGTAATCATGGGGGTTGCGTCCTCTCACCCTCAAACTGTGCTGCTCTGGATGGCATTCTTTATTGCAAGCACCACTTTGCCCAACTGTTCAAGGAGAAGGGCAGCTACAACCACCTCACCAAGACTGCTTCACTCAGGAAAAATGGAGCTCCAATGCCCGAAATGAAACCTGAGGAAGCCGATTCAGAGAAGGCACAAGAAGTAGCAGAAGAACCAAAACAAGAAGCAGAGGCAGGAGAAGCAGCACAGGATTCAGCCCCACAGGAACAATCATGAAAATGTGCACCACCCAATGCCATGTTCCACTAAGCTAGTGGTGTTGGGATTTTTGTTTTAATGATTTGTAAAACATGTTCAAAGGAAAACAGAATTTCTGCTTTTTCTTTGCTGATAATTTGAATCGATGTCTTGTGGAAGTTGAAATTTCAATGCAATTAAAGTAAATCAAATTTAACATTCTCGATCTTTCTTACAATTAAAGGCCCAAGATGCCATATTTGGTTGGGCCAATGGAATTTTGTCGTACTGGGCTCTAAAGTTATGGACCACATACAAACTTTATTTTAAAATATATAATTATATTGAAATATCGAACTCGAATCATTTATTTTTCAACTCTTCATTTATAGTTGATTTTTTAAAAACATATATGCAAATTCATAGAGCGGTTAATCCAATTCAGATATTCACGACGAAAAAATACTAATTCTCATTCAGATAGGCCTTTGAAAGGAGAAGGGCTCCATTTTCAATTATTATAGAGTGAAGGAAAAATTAGAAAGAAATTAGACTGATAATTGCTTCCCATGGAAAGAAACATTAACTAATTCTATACTACCAATACCAAAAAAAGAATATTATTTGTTGTATAATTACTGGGGGTGGTGAATGGTAATTGCTTCCCACGGAAAAAGTTACAGTGGGCAGAAATTCACAAATATGATTTTGTTAAAAGATAATTAAATTACCTTCCTTTAAAAGAAAAAGGTAATTAAATGCCACGTTGGTACAAAATCTCCAAGAGCTCACTCTGTCATCACTCTCAGTTTCACAGCTCAAAGCCTTTACCCGGTAATCTTATGATTATCTGAATGGCCTCCATTAACGCTCTCTGAATTCTGAAGAGCGTGGCTGCTCCTTTATCTCTCAAGAGATGGACGGTTTCTCTCTCACCCTCACCTCCAACGCCACCTCTTTCTTTCCTACTTCAACTAGAATTCCTTTACTTTCATCCAGAACATCAAGAAGACTAAAAACCCAAATTTTCCCGCCGAAGAATACTAAATTCATTGTTTTCACTTCCAAAGAAGAGCCGAAGCTAGACCCAATGGACCAAATGGAGCTGAAATTCGGTCGCTTGATCGGCGAGGACCCCAAACTTACTTTGGCCAAGGT